CCCTGTCTCTGGAAGAGGCGACTCATGCTTGTTCACCCATGTTCACAGCAGCATTAGTCACAATAGCTAAAACGTGGAAGCAAGTCAAGTCTCAATGGATGAATAGATAAGCAAAATGTGATCTATACATACAAGGAACTATGACTCAGCCTTAAAAAGGAAGGAAATTCTTGATGCAACAATATGGATGGACCTTAAGAACATTATGCTAAGTGAAATAAGTCAGTCAAAAAAAGCTAAGAACCATATGATTTCACTCATGTAGGATATAAAACTGAAACTCATGAACACAAACAGCAGTGTGGTGGTTGCCAGAGGGAAAAGATGTGGGGGTAAACGGGACCCTAATATATGGTGACAGTAGAAGATTTGACTTTGAGGGGTGGGCACACAGTGCAATATACAGATCTTGTAACATAGGAACCCATACCTGAAACCTGTATGATATTAACCAATGTCACCCCAATAAATTTAATAAAAATAATAATAAAAGGAAATCCTAGGGCCCTTAAGAATATGCTAAATTGACTCTGCCAGTGCTTTATAAATGGAACAACAAAGGATGGATGACAGCACATCTATTTAAAGTATGGTTTACTGAATATTTTAAGCTCACTGTTGAGACCTACTGCTTAGAAAAAAGATTCCTTTCAAAATATTACTGCTCAGTGACAGTGCTTCTAGTCACTCATGAGCTCTAATGGGTATGTACAATGAGATAAATGTTGTTTTCATGTCTGCTAACACAACATCCATTTTATAGCCCATGGGTCCAGGAGTAATTTAGACTTTCAAGCCTTATGATTTAAGAAACGTTCCATAAGGCTCTAGCTACTATCGATAGGGATTCCTCTGACGGATCTGGGCAAAGTAAATTGAAAACCTTTTGGAAAGGATTCACCATTCTAGATGCCATTAAGGACATGTGTGATTCATTGGAAGAGATCAAAATATCAATATGAATGGGAATTTGGAAACTGATTCCAACCCTCATTGATGACTCTGGGGGGTTCAAGGCTTCAATGGAGGAAGTAATTGCAGATATGGTGGAAATAGCAAGAGAACTGGAATTAGATCCTGAGGATATGACTGAAATGCTGCAATGTGATGATAAATCTTTAACAAATGAGGATTTGCTTCTTACGGAAGAGAAAAGAAAATGGTTTCTTGAGATGGGATCCACTTCTGGTGAAGATGTTGTGAAGACTGTAGAAATGCCAACAAAGGATTTTAATAGTTGATAAGGCAGTAGCAGGGTTTGAGAGGACTGACTTCAATTTTGAGGGAAGTTCTACTGTGGGTAAAATGCTATCAAACACTACCACGTACTATAGAGAAATCATTTGTGAAAGGAAGAGTCAATCAATGCAGCAAACTTCATTGTTGTCTCATTTTAAGAAATAGTCACAAACACGCTGATCAGTCAGAAGCTGAGTTAAAAAGACCCTCTACCAGCAAAAGATTGCAACTTAGCCGAAGGCTTAGATGGATAATAGTTACATTTTTTAGCAATGAAGTATTTTTAGTTAAGGTACATAGATATTTTAGATGCAACGCTACTTAGTGCACACTTAATAGACTATAGTATGGTGTCAACTTTTATATGCACTGGGAAACCAAAATATTTGTGTGCTTGGCTTTATTGCAGTAGTCTGGAATGAAACCCAAAATATCTCCAAGGTAACTTGTAAATGTAAATATATACCATTTTCATGGACTGGAAGACTTGAGATTGGTAAACTGGTCATTCTCCCCAAAATTGATGTACAGAGTCAACACAATCCCTATCAAAATTTCAGAAGGTGGTGTTTTTTTTTTTTTTACAAGTTGATAATCTGAGTCCAAAACTGATATGGAAGTGCAAAAAAAAAAGTTTGAAAAAGAAAAACTGTTAGAGGACTAGCACTGATTTCAAAAACAAAAACTTATCATAAAGCTATAAAAATAAAACCAGTGTTGGATTGGCATAAGAATGAACACACAGATCAGTGAAACACTGACATTTATGGCAATCAACTTTAACATAGATGCCAAGGCAATTCAATGGAAAAATTATTGCCTTTTCAAAAAATGATGCTAAAACAACTAGATATTCAATTGTAAAAAAAAAAAAATTATATGTGATAAAACTGCCTAGAACTATGGGCGTACACACAAATGAGTGCATACAAAATTGGGGAAATACAAACAAATCCAGGTAATGCTGATAAAACCTACATAAACTCTGGGGATTATATCAATGTCGATTTCCTGGCTTTCAGTTTGTCCTGTAGTTATGCAAGATGTTACCACTGGGGGAAACTGTGTGAAGGTATAGGGAACTTCCCTGGACTTTTTACAACTTCCTATGAATCTGTAATTATTCCAAAATAATTTTTTACCATAAAAACTGGATTAGGGTGATAGTTTTACAACTGCATAAATTTACTAACAATCATCAAACTATTCTTGTATAACAGATGAATTTTGTGGTATATAAAATATATCTCAATAAAGCTGTTTAAAAATAAACATTAATCAAACCCTGATATATTTGCTTACTTAAAGTGAATATTGATACATAACAGGGTATCAAGTACAATACTTTCCAGGTTCCTTCAAACTCTGAAGTTATTTCTGATTTTAACTGAACTATACTATCAGTTAGTTTTTCTTTTAAAAGTTTTCTGAAATAATGTACAAAGTTTGCAACAATTTTCCTTTTATTACCATAAAAGTAGTAACTCTTTCCTACCAAATTAAAAATGTCAATAACAAAATGTGGAGTCCATACTTGTTAGTGTCCTGACTGTGAAAGGGGCATGTCAGAACAAAGCAACACACAGAGAGGACGAAACCACAGGTGAACCACTAAAAGGCCTGCTCCTCAAGAACACAGGGAACTGTACATTGTCTGCGATCACTTCACACAGAAAAGCCAGCCAGGCACTAAAAACGGGCAGCCAGCAGGTGGAAAGCCTCCTTCTAACCTTACAGTGACAGCACAGTCCTTCAAAAAGTCACCCAGCTACCCTCTGACAGTTTCACCTACACCATAAACGCTGGGCTCTTTCTCTTCTGGAGTTCAAAGGCTGCTTTGCCAGGACTCTCTGGGCCAGTCTCATAGATCACATCAAGGCCCAGCTGGCTTCCTCCACTGATCTGACTCAATCACACTGAGGAAACATCTCAACTGAGGTCAGGAGCCAAGTTTTCCTTGTTCCAGTCACCAGTCTAGGGCAGTTGGGTGCTACTGCTTTATGAATTTGAGTCCATTCTTTATCTGATCTCTTCTTTCATACTGGAATTAGTACCTTCCACCTTTCCCTAACGACTTTAATCCACGCTGGAGTACTTACTAGCAATACTCTAACTGAGGATCTAGCTAGCCTCTGGATTCTTTCCTGGTTCCTCAACTCTAAAATAAGCTTCCAGAGTCCGGCACATGATCTGTGTAGACCTGGACAGAGACCACAGAAAAGGCAGCTGCCAGTTCTCCACAGCAAGGAGACATGGTCTTGTTACACAAACTTGTATTACACTGGGGGGCCTACTAAACAGCAAACTTCACTGGAAACAGTTTAACCTAAAATATCCCCACTTCTGCCCTGGCCAATGTTTCTCGGTGGTTAGTGTCAGCCCAAATGAGCACCTTAGAGTCTCGGGTTTGAATCTGAGTCAAGGGCACATACTTGGGCTGCAGATTCGATCCCCAGTCCTGGTTGGGGCATGTGCAGGGCGCATATGGGAGGCAACCAATCGATGTGTCTCTCATATTAATGTTTCTCTCTCTTTCTTTCCTTCTCTCCTTCTCTTCCTCCCTTCCACTCTCTCTAAAAAAATCGATGGAAAAAAGGATTAACAAATAAATAAATAATAAAATAAAATATTCCCAATTCAACTAAGATCATCGTGAAGGCAACAACACGCTGGTGATGTGAAGCTGCTTTACCAAGGCCCTTTCATCCTCTATACGGGCACTAGTAGAATGGTTTATTTTTAAGCATTACAGCCAACATGCCAGCAAAACATGCATTTTCTCTATGCTTTCAACTTAAAAAAAAAAAACAGGAAATCTAAGATTCTGTTCCAATGTAAGCTTCAACAAGGATGTCTCAGCAATTTAAGAAGGAACTGAACCAATGAATTGCATTGTTAACATTGGTCAAATTCCTTCTTGCCTATTGGTCAACCTCTTTCTGACCATGATACTTCAGGCCCAGACACTGCCATTTTAGTTTATCACGATCTACACAGAATACAGCAAAGCTAAAATTTAACCTTTCACTATGTGATGTTCCACCTAACCCAGTTTTAAGACTAAACCGTTTTCCCTAACCTTTTCTACTTGCTCAATATTAAAGCCTATAAAAATTCCCCTCGTTTTGGAAAACCTCTTTACAGCCACATTCAGAATTCCTTCACATGAGAAGACGGTATGAAATAAAACTTTGTACACAGGGAGGGGTCATTCCTGCAAGTTAGTAGTACCTGCTGCCCCAGCTGTGCTGGAAGAAGCAAGTGAGATGCAAGGACAGTCACTGACCACCTGCCAGCATGGAGTAAACAATACACACTAGTTAGTTATTACTAGTACAATTATTGTTTTACTATTCAAAAATAAGAATACATTCAAGCCCAGCCGACATGGCTCAGTGGTTGAGCATCAACCTATGAACCAGGAGAGGTCACAGTTGATTCCTGGTCAGGGCACATGCCCAGGGTTCAGGCACAATCCCCAGTGTGGGGCGTGCAGGAGGCAGCCAAGCAATGCTTCTCTCTCTTCATTGATGTTTCCATCTTTCTCTCCTCTCCTCTCCTCTATGAAATCAGTAAAAATATATATGTTAAAAAAAATACATATTCAAGCTCCAAATTTTACCAGGAGGGGTAGAATAGTTCATTTTACAGTAGAAGAAATTTCTTCCATTCCAAAAGTAAAAATTAATGTGTAATTTTCAAGAAATATTGTTAGTCTCCCCTAATATTAAATAAAATTGGTTAATTTTAAATATCCATAAATGATCCCTAAATTAAAAAATATTTTATTTAATACATCACCTCTGATTATAAATTATGTGTACAATATTTTTCTTCAATAGTTTTATTATGAATTTTTATGTTTTGGAATGGCCTTTTAAACATAAAAATTAACGGTGACTATTAAAAAGCGCCAAGTAAATAATCTCCACAATAGACAGTTATAAAATCCAAATGTTCAACTATTTTCCAACCCATTCAAAATACATACATACATACATACATTTAAAAATACAATCTCCTGATCCTTAAAGACTAGAAAGACAAGTCGCCAACACCTCTGAGTAGACACAGCCACAATGCTGGTGTTTTAAGCAGCGACCTGTGAGCATCATACCTTCTTCTCTTTCATGCTGTCGGCTTGCACAGTCTCCAGGCGTGCTTTAAAGTGCTCACAATCCATTCTCAGTTGCTCTAATTCTTGCTCCTTCCTTTCTAGATCTACAAGAAATAGACATAAATACCTAGTATTTCAAATCACTAATCTCTCTTAAGCATCCATTTTACCTGATCTATTAGGAAAATCTACACTCATTTCTTAGGTAGTATTTGCATAACCAGTCCTTGAATAACCAATATTCTAAAAGTCCTGCTTTTTACATTTGCCAGTTTTTAGCCCATAGTAAACAGCACTTTTTTTGTTTTCTGTTTATAAGACCTCACTTTACTGCCAAACTTGTACTCAGGATCTAAAGTGTATATTTAAAGGACTGGAGGCAGGGCTGAGAAGCCCGACTGTCTCATGGCACAAACTTGTATCTGTTCCAGAAAAAGCAGAAGGCAGCTCAGTGGTAGACAGTGCCAGCCGGGGCTGATTCACAAAACTGGTCTCACCAGCGGGCAGAGTGACTCAGTGAGACAGCTGCAGTGGTAGTCAATGGAGGAGTGAGAAATGGTGATAGAGATGAGAAAAGGCCATACTGAAAGGTGGCGACTATGGAATACTTCCTCTACACCATATTCATTCGATGATTCAAACGGCCAACAAAGGTCCCAAAAGACATCCACGTTAATAAATTTGAAGTCAAAAGTATTATCACTTTAAATAGAAAGTATTATGGGGCAGAAATACTGGCGTTCAAAGATCAAAAAAATACGTAATTTAAATTTTTAACTGCCTAGATTTCAAGGGCTGAGAAATCATCAGTTTTTATGCTGCCATGTACCAAAATTAGGAGAGCAACTGTGCTCAGAGCTAACGGTGTTACTTCTCTGATTAAAGTAGCGATAGCTAAGGACAGTGATTCTCAGACTTTGAGAGGACTCCTTCAAACAGGCTGCTGATTCAGTAGGATCGAATTGGGCCTGAGACACTGCATTTCTTACAAGTTACCAGGTGAGGCTGATGCTGCTGGTCTGGGAACAGACTTTGAGGACAACTGCTTTGGGACAAGAGCCTAGTCTCTCATCACTAACTAAATGAAATCCACACAACCAATGACAGCAATCAAGGGAAGGAAGCCGTGGGAATACTAAAGGGTGGAAAAACAGAGGGTGGTGCCAGAGTCCCAGGAACAGACCCCTGAAAAATGGAACATGACTCCACCAAAGAGGAGAAATGTGGCCTCCAGACACTTCCTCCAATGATGAGCAGATGAAAGAGACCTTGGGGTCTCAGGGAGAAGCCCAAACAAGAAGCTCAGGGGTCCTGCCAAGAATAACACGGGCATCCAAAAAGCTCTGGAGAGTCTACATTTCGGAGATCCTTTACCCTGGAAGGAAGGTAAAACCTAAAGTTCAATATTCAGACAGAGATTATGAAATTGGCTGGCAAACCTTTTTTTAAAACACGTTTCTTATAAACTAAGATGAAGTAACATGCGACTATTTCTTCTCACTTAAATCAGTTTCTTTTCTGCCCTTTTATGATGTACGGTAGTATGCCACAATATGACTTTCACTGGAATTCTTTCTTTTGTCCCATAATCCTGGCCACACAAGAAAACAACTATCAATCAAGTGCTATGCTTGGAAAACTGCATGGTTGACTTTTGTAACAATGCTAAATGAAAATATGTATGTGTATATATTACTTATAATTATGTATGAAATACAAACTGGTCACAAGGAAACAAAATGAAAGGAAGATAAAATTATTGATAGCGTAAATTCTTTGCAGTTAACTTTTAAATGTTTCTTCTATTATTAAACTGTATATTACTCAAACATGGTAATGAAAATAGGAAATTGCAACTCTACAAGCCATGTTATCACGTGTAAAAATCTGTAGAGCCCTAACCGGTTTGGCTCAGTGGATAGAGCGTCGGTCTGCAGACTGAAAGGTCCCAGGTTCGATTCTGGTTAAAGGGCATGTACCTTGGCTGTGGGCGCGTCCCCAGTGGGGGGTGTGCAGGAGGCGGCTGATGGATGTTTCTTACTCATCGATGTTTCTAACTCTCTATCCCTCTCCCTTCCTCTCTGTAAAAAATCAATAAAATATATATATATTTAAAAATAAAAAAATAAAAATCTGTAGAAATTTAACCACCCAAAAGACTTTCATTATGGTAATTTCATAATCTCTCACTCTGTATAGCTGTACACCACTCACTGTAAGTTAACGTGACCATGGGACAGGGTTAAATTCAGCCCGTTCTACCACAGGCCACCTCCCAGAACTCAGTGTCAGGGATGCCGCCCACACTGCAGGCTCGCCAGGGGAAGCAGTGCCTTTCCGCGGTGTGAGGCCGCCGCCTTGTGGCCAGATGGGAGCACTGCCGCTGCCACGCCTCCTGACAAGACCCCCACCTTGCACTTTCTTTTATTTATTTATTTATTTGATTTAAACAAGAAATTTTTTCTCCCATAGTTCTAGAGGTTACAATTCTGAGATCAAGGTGTCAGTAGAGTGGTTACTACTGAGAGCTGCAAAGACCTCTATCCTTAGTTCATCTTCTTTTGGCCTATTCACATCGTCTTCCCTCTATACATATTCCCGTGTCCAATCCCTGTTTTTATAAAAAACATACATCATATGTTGAATTAGAATTGATCCTAATTACCTCACTTTAACTCTATTATCTCTGTAAAGACCCTGTCTCCAAATAAGGTCACATTCTGAGATACTGGAGGTTAGAACTCAACATAAGAATTTGGACCACCTTGCATTTTCAACTTGGCCCACAGCATGCCTGCCATCTAAAACACCTCAAGGGCACAGATGTTCATGTTTTGTTTTCTAATACATCCCAAACGCCTACAACAGTATGTGCCACATAGTAGGCACTTTACAAATACTTGTCACAAAAATAAATTTCACTTCTTTATGCATTCCTTCTGCTAGTCCTTCAATAAAAAAGACAATCACTTTAATTATATGTCTCATTCTTCTGTTATAAGAATATGTTATTTCTTTAAAATCACAGAAATAATATGAACAGTAAATGATATACTAGTGGAGACATTATCTACCCAGCCTCACTATTAGAACAGGAAAGGGGCTGCCACTAAGCCTATACTGTACTTCAACAGTTATCCTTTAGCATTCAAAATGAAGAAGAAATCTCCATTTAACTGTTAACCGAATGAAGGGTGGCCCAGAAAGACTACAATATTTATATAGAAACAATATAAATCACAGGCCATTTCAACACCTATATATCTTCTGAATTTTACAATTCTTTTTGATAGTTTTAATAACATGAGAATGACTGTATCTCTTAATGCTCACAGGAAAGGTATAGATAACTATAAATGAAAACATTAATCAAAGAAATTTAAACTATACAAAAAGGATCAATTTCTTCTACCCCTTTTTTATCATCTGACATAGTTATAAATTTACCAGTTGTTCATATTATGAAAATTTGTTTCCATCAAAATAACTATGAAAAGAGTCTCAAATCCAAAATAAAGGCTTTTTAACACCCATTAATTTTTACCTTCTTATCACGTTCTAATAGGTTTAGAAAAGAATTTAGAATTAGCTACTGACGGATTCCATCTGTAGTTGAGCTGAGATTTGGAGGGTGTTGTTTGTTTCCAGCACAAAGTATGGGCTTCCCCCGCAATCCAAAAGTAGAGCTATTCCTATGAAACCATCATAAGCCAAAATGGCATAAAGTGAACAAACAATTACCTGAGGACACATCTTGCATATAGATGCACAAAATAAATGGATATAAAGCCTGGATGCTAACAGATACAGTTGAAAGTTCTGGCAGCTTGATGCTGAAATGCTGAGTGTGGTTCCCAGCAATGGGAAAAAAAAAAAATGAGGGACATCTGTAATACTCTCAACAGTATTTTTTAAATTTTTAATTAAAAAACAACAACAGGATTCTCCAGTTTAAAATAAATTATTGAGCCTTAATCAGTTTGGCTCAGTGGACAGAGTGGACTGAAGGGTCCCAGGTTCGATTCCGATCAAGGGCATGTACCTTGGTTGCGGGGACATCCCCAGTAGGGAGTGTGCAGGAGGCAGCTGATCGATGTTTCTCTCTCATCAATGTTTCTAACTCTCTATCCCTCTCTCCTCCTCTCTGTAAAAAAATCAATAAAATATAAATAAATAAGTTATTGACACCCACTGAGGCAGGAATAACTCCCTCACTGCTGAATGAATACACCCAAGGAGGAGAACATGGGGGGTGGGCTAACTTTCATGCCTCAGAACTGCAATTCACACCCAGGTCAGACCTATTCCAAACCTCCCTACACCTTTTCCAAATTCATGGGCGTCAGTGTCTGAGCCAGAATGGAAGTGCTGGGCCAGGAACAGTGCTTTCTTCAGGACACCAAGTGTTAAGCAAACCCTCCACCTGAGGAGGTCCTCTTTATCGCGGGCACCCGAGCTGTGCACTGTCCCAAAGAGGATCCCACTTTAAGACTTACACTTCCTGTGAGGTAAGCCTAACTGTCCTCATTTCATAGACAGGGTAATACCAGGCACATGAGTTAGACGCAGGATACGGATTACTCCCACATCTCTGTATTTCCATTGCTGAGCTCTGCCCTTACTTCCGTACCAAGATGTATCATTTCTTCATATCTCCCTCCAACTCCATCCATGTGGCTATAATCCCAAACCTTCCTCAGTGAGCACACTCTCATTAATACTCCATCTTCCATCCAATCCCTCAAGCCTATCCTATACTCAGATACAAAAATCATTCCCCTGAAAACATAATTTTAATGACTATTCTATGTCATTTTCATGTCATTATTTCCAGTTGCTTCTCGTTTCAAATTAAAAACAATAACTCAGGATTATTTTATCTTCTATAAGCTTCTCACACTTACTGACCTCAACTATACCTGACTCTACTATACCTCAACCCTTGCTTCATATGTCAAGCAGAAAAAATTAGCTCATTAACCCACAATCAATCCTGCTTACTCCTTTTTGTGACTTTCATACATGACATCATTCTAGTCTAAAAGTTTCCACTTTTCTAAAAAATCATGCCTCTCATTCCCTATAGATTCTCTGGCCGCACCCT